GAAAAAAAAATTCTAAAAAGTTATGATAAAAGTTTTTTCATCACTTTTACATTTCTGACTTCCTTATGTTGCAGCTCTAAATCCTTCTAACTTCCACACTGAGGAAAAACATATGAGAAAATGATTTTTATCACTTTACATTTAAAACATGGTTTGGGACAGTATAGACTATAGTATAATATCATCTTTCTCACAGTTAAATGGTGAAAACAAAGTTGTTTCTAAGCCCTGTTCTGCTGAAGAAGATGCTGATAAAAACCAAAATGGAAAGACAGTTTTTCTGTAATGATCTTCACAGATAAAATGAACTTTACTTTCTTTCTGAGGAACATCATCAGTTTATTATCAGTGTCTGGTCTTTTCTGCATCATAAAAACCACATTAAAGTGCCTCCATTACGAACAGAAATTAATCAAACTGCCTCCCTGGTTTGCCCCAAATTATGTTTCATCATCAACAAGCTGTTTCTGTGACCGAACAGCCGTTTTCTGTGGTGTGACAAGTGACTGGTGAGGAGAAACCAACCAACAAAACCTCTGGAGAAGCTGTTTCTTTTTGCTCTTTTTTTACAAACATCCAGAGTCCGTAAATGGCTCAGACCAGCTGCTGTTTCATTTACTGTTCATGTGTTTTTGTAAAGAAATTAACAAAAGACAGAAATGCAGAGATTGATATGTTAGGATGATAATAAAGTTCTAGTACAAATGGCAGGACTGAGAAAGTGGTGGAAAAAGAATTTCAGTCAAAACCTGAAGTAAAGATAGTTGCGACGTCTGCTCGATCACTTACATCTGTCAAAAAACAAAACATAACGTAGGTCTGGAGGGTCGTGCTTGGTGCCAGGACGTCTTTTGTAGTTGTTGTTATTTATGTGTGTCCCAGACATAAAAACAAGATGTCAGAATTGTTTGGGTACAGCTGGTCCTACTGCTCAGTGAAGCATCTTAGAGGGATTCTGGATTAAGTTTCAAATGTGTATTAGTGTGAGCACTTAAGACAGATAATCTGTTCCTTTTATGTTGTTTTTGTCTTTCACAGAAAATAATATCTTTAAAACCGTGTGTGTGTGTGTGTGTGTGTGTGTGTGTGTGTGTGTCCTAATGACTTCTGGTCCTGTTAGTCTGAGTCTGATCTCTCTAGCAGGCCGTCTGTCTGAATAGTGGAAAGAGGAAATAGGAACTGGTTCCTCCCACACAGATCAGATCAGGTTCCCTCTACGCCTACACACACACACACACACACACACACACATCCATTTACACACTGGTGTGCCAATGAACTTCTGCACAAATAGATGAGTGCTCTTTATGAATGGATGTGCACTTGCACGCTGACGCTCACCTCAAGCAGCAGGGTCTGTGATATAACTTAGCAGAGTAATGAGCTCTGTGTTTCACATCGATGAAACCGATCAGCTGAGTAGGCCGACCGCAGCGGTGCATTTCAGCGAGAGGTTTTGGACCAAGGTGAAGCGGAGGTTTGAGCATGGACTGGCTCTGATTATCAGTGTAACGGTCTGACAAAGAAGCTCCCACAGACAACTGGCTTGTGAGCAGCAGTAGAGGAGGAAACACGAAGGTTTCAGACGGCAGAGGCAGCCAACATTCGAAAAGAAGGAACTTTTAAATATGACTTGGTTTCAGGAGTGGTTCACTCGTTTAATCAACACATTTGCAGTTGTCTCTAGGAGGAATGAATGCCTTATAAGTTGTACTCTGGGTACAAAAAGCCCTGGTGAGCCAGATCAGAGGAGAGCTTCAGGCGATTTGGACACCTCACCTCTGATTGACTAACAGCAACTCTACCACTGACTTCTTTTATTTTGCAACGCTGATGTTTTATCTCCACCAATAACAAAGGAGTTCTGCTGTGTGGTGGGTTGCTAATGCTAACACCTTTGAAAATCTTTTTAATGATTATTTCTGATCATAATCAGTCACTCTGAGTTCTTCATGCAGGCTGAGCATGTTTATAATGAGCTTTATGAAGCACGATGACTACACAGTATTAAATATTTACATGTACGAACCTTCATCTTACTCTTCATCATTATTTCCTTCATTCTTGCTAAGGTCTCAGGGAGATTATGTCTAACTCCAGCAGTCACCAGGCGAGATGAGAGGGACATCCTGGACAGGTGTCCAGTCCATCACAGAGATAAACAACTGATCTCACCATGAGAAAATTTAGGGTCACCAGTTTGTGGTGAGAAGCCAGAAAACTGGGGAAAACATACGCATGCATGGGGAGAATGTGCCAGGATTCAAACCTGCAACCTTCTCACTGTGAGGCAACAGTACCACCAACTATGTCACCAAGCAGCTCTTATTCATGGGACTAAAGAACAGATTTACGTATGTGTCACTCTCTGTGTTCCTAAAGTGCTCTTCACCAGATTAAATGTCCAATGTTGGTACAGCTAAAGTGGGAAAAGGTGTTGACATGGCTTATAGAACTATAGCAGATGACTTTTAGCCCCAAAAACGTTGGAACGAGCTGGCAGGTTTGGTAGCAGGAAGACATCCAGTGTTGTGATTAGGATAATATATAATAAGGCAGATTATAATAAACCAAATTCTAATCTGTTGTTTCCATGAGAAGGTTGACTGAATTCATATTTCTGGGTGTCTGACCATCGCTGAGTGGAGATTAGAGATTTCTGCAGCTAAAGCGATGGTTACCAGCTGAGATCACATTCTGCTGCCTCAGCACTCCCGTTGGTTTGCATGTCGAGCCGAGGAGGCTTTTGGGTTCCCTTCCAGTTGTTTTTCCATCACACAGAATCATCCGAGCCATTGTTAAACCAGTATGTGTGTAAAAATATTGATGAATGCCGCAGTTTATGGGTCACGTAAGGAATGGCTCGAACATTCATCTTTAATAACCGCTTGGCTTCAGAGACTGTTTGCCTGGGTTATACCCCTCACTCTGCAGACTCATAAACTGCTGAGTCGGAAACTGAAAATCAGGCTTGGAATTTTCTAAACTGCCTCCACAGCTTTACCGATAAGCAAGTTATTGAGAAATAAGTGGCCAGACGGGCTTTTGGACCTTCTCTCCAAAACACAAACAAGTCATTTTTTACATTTCTCAAC